CTCGCGGCGCAGCAGGAGAAGGTCCTGCACCTGGAGCAGGCCTTGACGGCACACCAGGAGGAGAATGCCGTTCTCCGCGTCCTGGCCTCCTCACATACCGCCGAGGACGCGGAGGTGGGGTCCTTGGATTCGGAGGTGAATAAGACCCCGATCGAATCGGCGGTGGTGCCGCACGGCGAGAGTAGCTTCCTGCACTCCGCACTTCTTGCACGCATTCGTGGTCTTAGGCGGGATCTTCGCCACGCGCAATTTCGCATGACGCACTGGAAGCAGGTTCTTACCGCCGAACGGGATATGTACACGATAATGCTGAACCAGTTCCATCAGCAACTGGAACTGCGAGATGGACTCGTGCGCAGCAGCGCATCGCGAGCGACCACAATGAAGAACGCAGTTAAGAACAAAATCCTCGCATCCGATGATGTGCTGAGTAATATGCGCGATGTTGAAAAGCTGTTTGGTCAGGCTCTTTGTGAGCGCGATGCGGCGAAAACGGCACTGCGCGATGAAAAAATGTCATTTGCCGAAGAGCGCACAAAAATGAACCTGGAAATTGATCGGTTAAAGTGCGCCTGCGCAAACGCGGAAGGCAAGTGTAATGCACAGTCGAGGCTTGTGTCTGAACTTCGCTCTCAGATAGATCAACACCACAGGGATGCCGAAGAACGGGCAGAGAAACTCGCAAGTCGAGACATGGTACTGAAAAACGAGCTCCAAACCGTCAATGAAAAGTATCTTAAGGAGGTCGAGGTGCTCCAAACTCGCCTACAGCACACCACCGCGTCCTTCAGGGAACAGGAGGAGAAAAGGCAGGAGGAGCACAGGAAGCAACTCTCTGAGTGCCACCTAACTCTCACCCGAGAGCGTGACGAAGCGATTCTCAAGCAAAAGCAAAGCGAGGTGGAATTCAAACGAGGCCAGTCTGCCCTCACACAGCAACTTCGGCAAACTGAGGAACAAATAAAGGCCCTCCAAAACCTTGTCTCGGCAGGGGAAGATCAAATCGAGGTCCTCGAAGAGGCCCTTCGTAAGAGCGAGGTCTCGCTCAGAGCTGCTTTAAATTGGCAAAAAGAGATGGCGGCGACGCACACTGCGGAGATCCAGCACATGAACGATCCCTCAGGGAGCGAAGATGCACAGAATGGCTCTCAGGATGGAAGCACTGGTAAGCAGGCGAACGCGGCTATGAGCACTTCAGAAACGCAGGCAATACGTAATAAGGAGACGCCGTTTTGTTGGTACACGTTCTTTGGATCGAGTTTACTCGATCACCTTGCCGCCTGTCATCGCCTTGAGGAGAAATGGTATCGAAAGAAACACGACCTCCTCATTCGCGAGCTCAAACGCGATCTCCCGGCGTCGAGGCAAGCACGTGATAGCGAGGTCTCACCACAATCACTTCCAACAAAGAGGCGAAGCTACCACGAAAGCCGTTTTCGAGATAAAAAAAGCTTGACCGGAGAGTTTCAAAGCTCAGGCGAGGTGGCAAGCGACGGAGGGAGTGATTCTTTGGGGTTGGAGTACGAATTAAACGAATATAAGCGAATGGTGGCCTCCCTAAAAGAGGCACTGTGGAAACACGAAGAGGCGCGTCGGATTGACCATAGTACTATTAATATACTAAAACAACTACTAAAGCTGCAAAATGAGGAGGAAATTTTTTCGACAGGGCAACGTGATAATTGCGGATTGCCGGCGGGGGTGGCGCAGTGGCGGGAAGTACTTTCCCAGCTCACGCCCTCCGCGCCTTTGGAAAACGTCACGCCGCCCTTTCACCTAAGACAAGAGCTGGAGATTAATCGCATCGGCGGCATTTCGCTAAATCCTGAAACTCGCGAGGTCTACTGCTGCCGTAAGTCAGAAAATAATTCAGTAGACCCTGTGCAGTCTGTGGAAGCCTACCGCATGCAATATGTCGCTTTACAAGCAGAGCTTAAAAAATCTCTAGAGAATTCTGATGATCTCTTCTGTAGCCTTGATTAATTGATTCAGTAGAGGAGGTGGGAGAGTAAGTTTTATAACTCCTTCCCTTCCTCTACGGTGAAAAACTAAAAGCAGATGCACTGAGAACTATGAATGATAACTTTATAGTGAAATGACATGTGAAGCGATTTTCAAGGTAAAGAGGATGGAAAATTTTTAAATAATTTAAATATGGAACTATGCGTGTGTTAATTTTTTCTTTAAACTGTTTTCTACTATTTCTTTAATTGAACTGCATTATTTGAAAAGGGTTTTGTTGGCCTCCACTTGGCTTAGATGTCGCTTGTCAGAAAGTTGATTTGCTCAAAATGATATCAATCTATTTTTCACTTCCACATCTTCGTTTTATCCCTTTCATGGTAATCATTCAGACAATTTAGCATCTATTTCAGACCCTTTTTATTACAAATGAAAAGCGCCAATCAGAGGATTGTTCAAACCCTTCAACCACTCATTCACGGGCTAAAATTCGCCGTCGTATACTGCGGTACCCATCAGTATAAAGTTTCCCCTGGTGATGTCATTGTCGTTCAGAGGCTTCGCGCAGAAATTGGAAGTCAGATCGCGTTAAAAAAAGTCCTGATGGTAGGTGGGGCACGTTTTACTTCCATTGGGCGGCCTTTTCTAGATCACGCTCGCGTTTTAGCAGATGTAGAGGAGCATAAGCGAATGCGAAATGTCGTTTCCCTTTTCTCTACCCCTGGGCGTCGGATGGCGCGTTGGGTGGATGCCGCACATGCTGCCACGGTTTTACGCATTACGGAAGTGAACTATGAGCCGGAAATCCTAGGCGAGGTTGATAAATACAGCGGAGTGCTTCTTAAAGAATTTAACCCAGAGGTGCATACAAATCCGGTGTTTAGCGCAAATGATGGGTATGATATTTTCAAAAAGAAAGACAGGGAAGCAATTGAAGAAGCGACGACATTCCTAGACATGATGGAATAGCAAAATTCAGGCATTTAACACCCAATGGAAGACCAATACGGTGGGGTAGACGTGAGGAAACCAATGTCTGGGGATTGTGTGCATCAAATGAATCCCCTATAGTGTTGGTTGCTTTTTTGTGTATACTTTGTACATTACCTGTTTAGTGTTAGCCTCTGCATATGATGTTTACGCTCTATCATGGATTCAATAGATGGTTCCCTTCATGAGCCCAGGCGGAATGGGTTACAAAACACTAAAACAAAGATGGGTGGATGGACCGTATGAAGGAATGCAATGAGAAGGAAATCTTTAGCGGGATTACACTGATTAGCATTATAGCGGTTATATTTATAAGCGATCATATCGCGTGTGTGTGTTTTTCAGTGTGTGATTCAATCCCTCTCTATGTGACTTCCCTTTGGATGTTTATTATTATTATTATTATTATTTCATATTGCAACGGATGATGTTGCTTCACTCCCAAACCACACCGCCGGTAGACAACACATTCAACATTTGCATACTATATAGGGTTCGTAAAGGGTAAAAACCAAAAAGAAAAAAACACCAGGGGGGTCCAATTTGTTATCGACCCGCCGCCTTGTCCTTTTCTCGCCTCAGGATTAACCCCTGGTTGTCGAATCCGACCCTGTCGCATCGGGGACGAGTGAGCGGCGCCGTGCCTTGCCCGCCATGTCTGTCCACATCACCCCGCTCACCCGCAACCAACTGCTCGAGCTCGAGCTCCGGGTGCGGACCACCGTCCAGGCGCTCACCCGCGCCCCAGGCGAG